TCACAGCAGTTACTAAACTGCTCTTGAAGCCATTCACATTTGTTTTATTTGTTTTCTTCTGTAAGCAGCTCATCCAGATTTGTCTTGCATTGCATTGTGGGACAATATCATCCTTCAACCCCACACTCGACAATCAAGTCATTAAGTATTTTTTGATTTTACTTAATTGTGACACTTTTTCAGGAAAAACACATGACACACTTGAAACCCAGTTAGAATAATGTATCGGGAACTGGGACTCTCTTTAATTTACAGTCACATTTTTCACAAGATTAAGATATCTAATTAGTGCAGAGATCATCACAATCTTTTTTCGCTACACATTGGGGAGATTTCACTGCAGCATGGGTGGAAATCTCTGATTCAAATGAACTTTCCTTCATGTTGTGCTTGGGTTTTAAACACATATTGATTATATGTGTGCTTTTGTTATAGCTGTTTCCTGAGGGCATCTGTTATTAAGGTGCTCTTAACCTAAACAAAGTGTATTCAGCGGCCCCTCACTTGTCACAGACACCAGTGCTAATCTGATTCTGTCTTGTATTGTATACAACAAGTGAAGCTCCCAAACAACAGAACTGCCTCAACCAGCTGCTGTAAGGAGTACAAGTCTACAGCCTAAATATTGTGTGCGTATGTGTGTGTCTGTCTGTGTGGCTTTGTGGTTATCTGTGTGTGTTTGTGTGTAACTTCTGGTTGTTGTAAAATGTTGACGTTTCATATTATCATGGAACACTTTAATTTGGTGTGACATAGTATTTTTATTCAGCACAATTTCATTACTTGATAAATAACAGAAACATTTATTTTTTTAATATAATGCTGGGAGCTGCGGCTAACATTAAGGTGCTGACAAACAGCGAGTAGGTGTTAAAAAAAGTGCTTTATTTTCTAACAAGGTAGTGGCAGCTGGGTGAAAGACCTTCTGCTTTAAGGCTTTCCAAATACTGGAACATGACTTCCTAACAAATACAAATAGTTTGGGTGTCTTCTTAGTTTGTCTCCTTAGTTTTTTTAGGATGAGGAAGAGCTGCCATGAGATTAAAAAGGCCTAAGTGTGACAGAGGTCAAACTATCTGACCTCCCACCACTCGATTTAATGACGACACATAAAAACCTGACATTTCATCTCTGTTAATGTTTTGTCTCAAGTAAAGATGATACTAGAAATGCACAAATACATTATTGTCCTTCCTTATCACACTTAATGCAGTTACAGTATTTGATTATACTGTTTTTTTTATTAAATGTAGGCCTGAGGAAGGGTCCCCACCTAAAAACAAACTGATCCCAAACATGAAAGCCACAACGTAACCCAAACTCAGCCTGTCTGCAACAGCTTCCTGTGTGTATGATGAGGCTCCGAGTGGTGTCTCTTAGAGACTTCTCTTGACTGGTCACACACAGGAAACCAGATGCTCTCAAGGGTTGAACCAGAACACTGTTTAAGAAAACAGCTTTCTGAGACATAAACAAGTGACAGTCTTTGTGTCAAGTCAACTGAGGTTCACTTAAACTGCACCTTGAATAGAAAACAAGGTTACAAAGCACTTCACAGGAAACCACTCTCAACCAAGCTGTTCAGGAACACCTTGTCTTTTTTTAAATATAAACTAGTGTCAGACTTCCTGTTTACTTAACTAAATCTGTATAACACATTTAACACAAAACACTGATTCAGAGATTTAAAAAAATAAGTAACTAATACAATAGGAACCATAACATAAAACATAGACCCTGGATCAAATGGTCGAAATATCACCAACTGAGCGAGGCCATAGGAAAAATGTGTCTTATTGGTTTTCTAAAATACGAAATACCAACCTTTTTCTGAAGGTTGCTACGGAAGCAGGGGGTCACGATATCAAACACACACTTCTCCTTTAGTTTCAGTGTGGACGTGAGATTGCAAACAGCCCACTGAGGAGCGAGAGAGATGTTGTAAAGATACCAACGTTCAGGAGTAACACTTCTTCGTCCGGGTCTGTGTGGCTGCTCTGCCCTCTGATCTTTGTCCTGGCTTCCCCTCTTCTCAACAACATTTGGCTGTCAGTAGAAATTCTCTGGGGAAACATCTATTTGCCAATTGCTGAAACTTAAAATATTGCAAAAGACTTGTTCTTGTCAAGCCCTTGCAACAGCAGGATTTGATAAATGCTTACTCATACAGTATCATTGTAGCCAACAGCCTTTGACATCACAATGAATAAACTAAAGTTGTTGTGCGTACATTTATGAGTCATCCAGGTTATATTCATTTAAGATGATGATACTTTCAAGAGGACAGGGAAGTCTTGAATTCAACTGGTGTCTTGGTTGATGGCTTTGGCTTCAGGCCTTTTTGCTCAGCGTTCTGCTTTCATGTTGATCTCTTCTCGCTTCTGTCTGAGACATTTAACGCAACACTTTAGAGACTCAACCCCGCGTAGTGTCGTTGCCATCCTCGCAACATCATCCCCTCTCATCAATCCTTTCTTCCACTCCTTCTTTCCAGTTGATACTTCATGCCCTTGCTCCCTCTCCAGTCTACTCTTCCTCCCATGCCACCTCTGGCTGTTCCCGATCTTATCCGCCACCTCTGTGTCCTCCAACCACTTGACACCTTTTCAGATTCATCCCCACCAGTTGGCAGACAGCGTGCATTTCACCCAGAGGGCGCAATGCAGCGATCCCTGGGAATCAATGGCAGATAAATCAATGCTATCTCTTTTTTCCATGCCTCTGCTGCCATCGATTTTTTTTCCTGTTACTTTGCTGTTTGTGGAGACTTGAACTTTGCTCAATTAAACCGAGTTCACTTTCAGGAACAAATTGTAACAGTGTAAGGCTTTCAGTTCACAGACAGACACTAATGTTGGCTCTGGATGGGGGCATACTAGAGCTTTATTTATGAGATGCCCCATTCAAACAGAAGCAGCAGTGGTTTTCACTGAAGCTGAACCTGGATTTATTGGTTTTGTAAACCCTCTTTCAGATGAAGCATGCCAAAGGCTTTGCTTAATAGTGAAGTCTTTCATTTTCATGCAGAGCTGATACCTGAACGGAGACAAAGCAAATATCCTTTGATCATATTTAAGAAAGAAGGAGGCCCAATTAGCATGTGAATAACCCTTGCTTTGGTGTTTTAGTAAATGGTTCCTAGGTTTCTTGGCAGGGAAATATCTAATGTGATTTCATATCCAATCTCCAGGCTCTAGATCCTGTCATTGGAAATGATTTCTGGGGAATGCACAGACTCAGACATATTATTCAGAAAACTGCATTTAATAAAGCCGACAGAAAATTATCCCCCGTGATATTTCGCTAGTCTCCCCCATAAATAATTCATTGTTTTTATGTGCCCTCATGCTGCCTTGGGGATTGGAACAGCTGAGTGTTTTCACAACGTATTTGTGTCCAATCTTCTGCGTATTGGGCGTACTCTAATCAAACCACAGTAAACATGCCTTGAATGTTTGTTGAGTCATCTGCTTATCAGCTAATCAAATGGCTTATTTGCCTGCCTGCCTGCCTCACTGGAGCAAAACACAGCTCTGGTTGAGTATTTTTCAATTAATTGTTCATCTGTATGATTGACTATGCAGCTGCACGGCCTAGGTGATATGATTGAGCTTTAATGTGTGCTATATAGGTCCACTGCAGCACTGAGGGGGAGATGTGATTGCAGTGAATACATTTAAGGGATTGACTAAGTCAGGCATCATCATTTCGCCTCCCCCGATAGTCAGTTTTATGTTTGTCCTGTAGGTGTAGGACCACACAAAAGACCCCATATGTACCTATTTTTCTGTCAAAGAACTAGCATGAAAGTGCAAGTCATAGAGAGAATTTCAAAGGCAGAAGCAGGACAGCGACATGGAGCTGCCAGGGATTGGTGAGCAATCAGATAGGGCAGAATTGATGACCTGGCTCAGGATGGATTTCTTGGAGCGGGCTGCCAGACCGAGGTAATACTTTCAGGCTCTTATCAGCACTGGCATAAGCTGAGTGCTGCATCACCCACTTCCCAGCGTCAGCTTATTATGAGAGTCCATGATGTGTGATTGCTTGTACTACCTTTGTGTGTCCCGGGGTCTGTGTGATGCACCGGACACAGTTAGTAAGAAGAAGAAGAGGATAGCTTAGGGCCTCTGTCAAAGAAAAACCTCCATTTCATCTCGGTTTGAATGACATTTTGCAAAAGTAGGTGTTTTGCAAGGTTCCCTGTGACTCATAGCTGGAAGTGTCAGTAAATAAATTATGCTAAGTAGACAGTCACGTACCCTTATGTCATTTTTTAAAAGATTGTCTGGCTGAAATATATTTAGGTGTGTCGTTGAAAGACATTATCAATGTGCAGGACTTTGAAGAGATGCGCATGATTTCCCATATGGATCACTTTAGATATATGAGCTCACAGGACAATAAACTCTGATCACACATCAGGCAATCTTTTGATAGCATAAACTGATTTTTGCCAGGCTTATTATTTATATGGATTATTTCTCCTTTAGGAGTTTCAAACCAATTAAGTTAAAACGCATTTTGCAGTCACCAATTCATGAACAGCAGATTAATTCTGCATGCTTATCACTTTTAATTGTATTCCTGTTGCATGATAATACTTTAGTTCTCCCTGTAGACTAGCTACAGAGCAGCTTTCCTGCGGCTGGATGTAATTCAGTCTCCTGCTCAAGGGCACGTCTGCAGAGCCTAGCGGTTTGAGTCTCTCCGTGAAGGGATGCTGCCTTAAACATTTAACTAGGCTGCTGATAAGGATGAAAGCGTGATTAAAGATCTCAATCTGCATCCTGCCACGGCAATTTATATCAGACCGTTTTTTTTTCTTTTTCCGCGAATAAACAACGTGGTTTCAGACGCTTGGACGCCGAGCATCTCTATGGTAACAGTCCTCAATTACTGATGATTGGCCAACCCGTGGGAATGTTTCTATTCCCTGAGTGCAGTGATTGGTCGGTGGGCGGTCTGTGCAGCCTCACTGTCTGCAGCGTTCCGGGTTATTGTCAGTCTCGGCAGCTCGGCACAAGGGCAGGACCGCATCCCGAGCCGCCTGCTCTGCTAGCTCTAGAATCAGACGTAACCATTTCTTATTTGGTTCATACACCAAAGAGAGTATCTCGGACCATTGCTATCGAGGTTACTCCACAGTCTGAGCTGGAAATCTGAGTCTGAAACGGGAGGCAAGATATCTCGTTTCTTCCGCCACCACGGAGAAAGTGACGGACGGAGCAGAGCCTGAGCACCGGGATTTTATATCGCTTCAGTTTAGGATATTTCAGCCAGCTCCAGTGGCCCAGCCTTGATTTCTTTCAGGGCACCTGCTATTCCATAGAGAATATTACTAGCAGTCGCTTGAATATGTTGAACTAAGGTTGTATATCGAACAGGCGGACCACTTTAAACCCATGCGTAACAGCGGTGGATTTGGGAATACTGCGTAGCCGTTCAACCAGCCAGTCTTCAGATCATCTAATCTGTTATCTGGAGGTATCTACAAGCGCAAAGAAGAGCAACCAGGACCTTTTACTTTGTTCCGGAGGCTAAACGTTGAAAACCCGAAGCGCTCTCGGTGCGCAATCCTTCCGAGGACGCTCCTGAAATTGCCGACCTGCGCTTTTGCCCTCGACATAAATTGGCAGCCGAGTCGAGAAAAAGGGCAAAGCTTATTAACTTTGCATGCTGGAGGCTAGAGTGTGGAATCTAATTCACGGGGTTACCGGTGTATTTGCATAACATCGGAAGAGGAGGATAAACTTAATCAACATTTGACATCGACAAAGCGGCTGCTGGATTTTGGAGAACAGAATGAATCCTTTTTAATTTGGACATCAGAAGTATGAGGCAGATTGCTCAGTGAATGCTACAATCTGCATGGAGTTCTAGTCTGCACTACGGAGCAATTTATGGTAAATATATTTCACGGCCATTTATTTTTTTCCTTTAAGTCTTGCAGATTCAGAATGGTTTTGGTCAGTTTTTGTATCCATTAACGTAGTGCAGGCAGAGACGCGCTGAATCCTTTTGGGATGGTAACGAGAAGAACAACAGAAAATAATGAATGTTTGTAAATGTTCCCTTTTCCCAGGATAATGCCCACATAACGATGTCTCAGATGTAAAGCCTTTGTTTCCATGCGTGACCTACAGTAAAGGAAGTGTTGTAAAATCGACTAGTTAGAGAGCCGCTCCCGAATGGCTTTAGGAACTGCTTTGATGTGTAATATTGGTCTTTTCAAGTATGGGTAGCAATTAAGTGTATTGTCGAGGGTATCGCACCGCAGGCACCACAGGCAGGAGTGTGTGCCACTGGAAGAGTTGCTGCTCAGAGCAAAAGGTGCGAATTTATCATCTGCACGCCCCCGTGCGTCACTGCGTGTGGGGAGGGTGGCTATAGTGACTGCTGCAATTAGTGATTTTTCACCCTGGAGTGTTAATGATATACCATCCCTTTTTATAGCGGGCCTGTATATTGTGACAGGCTTTAATCAAGGAACTTACACAATTCCTGCAGATGTGTGCTAAATGCTGTAAAACTTTTCGCTTGGTGCTCGGCGACATGGATGATTCTCTGTGCTGCATTGAGGTCTGGAAGGCAATTTGTCATTGTCCTGTGAATTCTTTAGCAAATATGTCTTCTGCAGCAGCCTGGGTCTTGAATGCAAATGGAAAAGTCTGGTTATCTTGAATTTGAGTCCATGTTTATTTGAATATGCTGGTTGATAAAGTTTAGGGCTGTTTCCACTCTTGTGAACTTTGAGCCTCATGGGTTGCTGAGGTTGCTCTGCAATATTTAGCTTCATCGCTCACACTGCACATAAATGAGCCTTCACATTATGCTGACTGTGCAGGGAAAGAGCTGCACACAGTATGTTTTATCATTAGACTACAAGCATCCTCAAAATGTATCTTCCTCCCTGGCTCCAGTCACTCTCTCTCCAGCCGCCCCGCAGACAGGCAGCTCTCTGAATGTAATATGGGCCCCTACAGCAGGGCAGGCACCCCCACAGTCAGGGCACCTGCCATCCTGGCTGTATTGAATAAAACATCCAGTGATGTATGAGGCAGGGGCTGCACCCGAGGGGGCAGAACTGCCTCATTTACTTCCTACACTCTGCGCCTATGACCTGCTGAGCAAATTGTGCTCATATTAGCTCTGCGGCTGCTCCTCACCTAAACAAATAGTCTTCCCAGCATAATGCTTCCCTTAACTCAACATGAAGGTTGGACAAGGCAGAGGAGAACAGAATGGTGAAAAAGCTATAATATCTGGGTCACTGAATCACCTTTAGGAGTTTTTAGCTCTTGGTTTGCCTTTTTATTTTCTAGCTTGCTCTTAAGTCCTGTGTTTTCTAGTAACATTGAACTTTCAATTATCCTGCTGCAAGACTTTACTCACATTTCATCTTCCTCTTGCTTTTACCATGTTTCCTATTGCTCTATGCTATCATCTGTCCAACAAAGGCACAAGTCCACAAATGTACACTTGCAAAAGTATTTTGTGTTGCATCAATCCTGATCACATCAGCACTTTCTGCTTTACTTGTGAGAGAAAGTATTACTAAAGTAAGATCTAATATAGTCATTTATACCAGCAGCAGCAGCAGCAGCTGTGAGGAGGAGAACATATTCTAGCCTCATATTGATGAAAGTAAAAGCCAACACCAAGAGAAGCTATGCATCTTTAGCTCCAATTCCATATCAGCTTGATTGATTGATAGCGTTTGGGTTCCTTACTGTATTCTTCGCTTATTAAAGCGCCAGCCTGAAGTGAATAAGTGAGCCTCACTCATGAATATCGCTAAAGTCGCTGAAGTTTAATTTCCTGCGCTGTGTATTAATCTTTTTTAATCCCTGCATGGTTTGATTGTCTCAGCACCTACCCAGAGGCAGCAAAACTCATTTTGGCACTCAAGATGACTAAAATAGGTGTGTGTGTGTGTGTGTGTGTGTGTGTGTGTGTGTGTGTGTGTGTGTGTGTGTGTGTGTGTGTGTGTGTGTGTGTGTGTGTGTGTGTGTGTGTGTGTGTGTGTGTGTGTGTGTGTGTGTGTGTGTGTGTGTGTCTAACGATCTTCCCACCCCTGAAGTGTCTGCATGTCCGTTCCTGTGTGGACTCTAGTAATAAAAGCACTTGTTTTTACCCACACAATAAAATAAGTTAACCACTTTTTATAACCGATTTACGATCCGCTAACTCAATTTATAGAGAAAATGTACTGGAGATGTAAATAATAATGAACAACATTTCCTTCCGATGTCAAAGAAAAGAAAAGACAGGCGTTCTTAGAGTATTTTATATCATGGAAAAGCACAAAGCTTCTTACTTCCTAATATCATCGGACACTTTGAGGAACACAAGCGTTTTCTCTCAAAGCCGTGTCACCAGCAGCTCATTAGACGCCTGATCAAAGTGTTTCATTTCAGGCAAAGTCTACAAAAGTCCTTGTTTTAACACTTTTCATGTGCAGGCAAACAAAAGAGACGTGCCCTTCCTTGTACCTTACAATATTACATGATTTAATATAAACTCTGATGTCCCGGCAGCGAGATTTGTCTTGCACATCAGTACTCAGGATGTGGAGGGGGATAAAACCAAAGGTATTACGCAGAATTAATTGTGAAGAAACAAACACACCCTTCAGCCAGTCAGTGTGAATGAATCGAGGTGAAAGCTGAGTTCAGTTTCCAGCAAGGATGATAGTGTTGATTGGATTTGGCATGTGGAGGCAGGATATGCTGGAAAAACATTTGGTTTGTAGGTAGTTATTTATGCTCAAAGTAGTTAGCTGCTACAGCAAATCAAATTGCACACCACTGCTGTGTGATTGACCCTTAGTGTAATTAGCATCATGTAACAGAAAATAATACAACACATCTTCAGTAAATTGACTAGCGTGTCATTCTACTACTTTAAACACAGCGCAGGCATCTTGTTTTCATAAACAACTATGCATTTCAAATCAAGCATGTTTGATGTGGAGTAGCTACTGAAATAAAGCCTACAGGCCTTTGATTGCACACATGCCCCAGTGTTTCTGATGAGAGCTTCATGTTAGTGAGACGCTGTGTGGTTTTCTGCTCGTTACGCCACCGAGGACTTCCTGTTGTTCAGGCTGTAGGGAAAGATTCACCTGACCACAGCCCTGCTCAAGTGATCTGATCCGCTGTGATGGTAGACGTTGGCAACTCTTCATCAGGTTTATCTGCAGCCACTTAGCGCATGACGGACAGCGGCGATCCCCCGCCCTCCTCCCCTCTCACCCTGTCAGACTGAGTGGAAGTCACGTCTCACAGGGCCCCCGAGGTTAATGTATAGCCTTTAATTTGGAAAGGTTAGGGCGGTCAGTCCATTTTTTTTACGTCTGACAATGCCCTTGTGCGTGTGAAATGTAGGGACTGTGGAGTTTATGTGGTTAATGAGTACAGTAGTATAGAAAGGCTGAGTGCCGTGGATTTGATAGTTTACTCCATAACCCAGCCAGAGACGTGTGGGGAGGCATGCTCCTTCCAAAGTGTTCTTGGTGCAAGAAAGAGAATAAAGCAAATCTGACAAGCTCTCCAACAGCGAATTTGCTCTCCTTAAAAACAATGCCGCTCTTGCCTTCCTCATGGTCACATTGATTTGTTCTGGGTGACAGTGCAGGCTGCTGTGAAATCACCCCAGCGCCATTGATCTCAAGTGGAGGAGGAGGAGAGGGAATGAGAGCCTGGCGACAGTGAGCAACATGGGAAAATCCTCAGTGTGCCCTCTTCAACCTTAAACAGTAATAAAATGAAGGCCTTGGTTACTATCTGATCAGCCCCCGCTGTACTTCTTCAGCCTCAGTATTGCAGCCTAGTCGGCGCTTTGATTTGTTTTGGAGGCCTGTGCATGCTGTTTGATTTGCTATTGTGCCTCGCCATGTTTCACATTATCAGCTGAACTCTTTATTGCCACTGTTTTCCATGCCAGAAGCAAGGCTGTTTTTTATCTCATGCAGGCCTCTGATTAATATCCCCCTCTATGCTGGTGCACTTTAATCTTGAATGGAAGATATCTGATTCTCCTCGGCTATTGAGGAAGATCAAACTTTAATGGAACAAGGAACTGCACATCATCCTAATCTCCACCTCCCTGCATTTTGCTTGACTGCTCTCCCTCGGGCAGGAAGCAGGAAATACATCAGACAGATAAGGTATGTTCTGGTCATGCTGTGGTAATATATTCCCTGTTGACAATGGTCACTTTACATCTCAGATGGTTGAATACTTGGTTGAAGTAACAGTGGGTAAAAGCAAGGAGAATTGATTGATATTAACTTACAAATCCTGTATAGACTCAAACACGGAAACTTTTCAACAAGCTTTAATAGAGGTTTCTTCACAGTTCATTGCGCAGAAACAGAAAATGTGTACGCCTCTCTGTATTCATCGACATGCTACAGATGAGGCCTTTTGTGACCCATGTCATCCGTCTATAACAGCCTGCAGGAGAGATACAGTCAGCTGTATGGATGTATGAAGGTTCAATGCGTCTGATTACACGACAGTCAATCCAGGAATTAGCTATTGACTGCTATTTCCACCACTCACCTCCTCCATATCACTGAATAACGGTGCATTATGCTGACCAGCATCTGGACTGTGACTGACTAGATGCTTATTGTTGCAAATGGATAACACGTATGGAGTGTCACACCTCCCACAGACGGTTTGTGTCTCTGACAAAAAGAGGCTATTACCCAATTCTAAGGCGGTTGCTGTAAGGTAATGAAATTTCCACTGACTGGAGAAAACAATGTTGTCTGGTCCTGGATTGTAATTGCAGAAGCCACCTCACCATTTTCCTGAGTTCAGCGTGAATGCAACACGATTTAATAAAACTCTGGAGATTTTTATCATTTATTGCCAGGCCTGGCAGCCGCATCAGG